GTTTGTCTCTATTTAAGTGGTTAATTTTTAAGTGAATTACTCACTGGTAGGATGAAAACATTTTAATCAGGAAATTATGTATTCACTGATTAATGAATAAAAATGTAGATAGATAAAATAAAACTTTGCTTTTATTTTAATATCTTCAGAAATGCAAAAATAATCAAAATTTAATAAATTTTGATATTTGATTAATTATAATATATTATAATAAATAAATAAATTATATATATATTCTATATCAGCCATATGTCTGCGGCTGACAGCGCAGGAATATGTTTGGAGCAACTTTGCGCAGATACCTCCGCAAAGTGCTACGTCCTCAGAGGTGCAATTCAATCTTTGAAACTTAACCAGCCCCCTTCTCTTCAACAATCAGCAGTTGTACATTCAGGACTCAGTGAATCTGTCGAGATGAAAACCGATCAATATGCGGTGACCAGAATCCCGTGGCGCTATAAAGAAGGCCAATTTTCTTAGCGCATCTAATGTGCAGCAGGGCTGCACAGAAGGAGAGAGAGAGAGGCAGAGAGTGACTGCTGGTCATGTTGCTTAACCTTTTAAACATCATGTAAAACAAAATGTTTAAAAATAATAATAATAATTCTGGTATGCCAATGCAATTGATGATAGTGCTGCATTAAAGTTTGCTCTGGATGCATTCAAAAATCGGATTTTGTGTAAAAAAAATAAAAATCTGGATGTTTTTGTTTTGGAAATATCCAAACCCAGGACCTTTCCCTTAGATCCCATCTCTTCTCCCTACCGCCACCACCAGAGATCTGTGGTGATGAACTTTGGTTAAGAGGCACTGTTCCATATAGAGGCAGCATCAGCATTACATTTTAATGAGCTGATTGGAGGGCCTGGACAGCTCCACACAAGACATCTTTTAAATAGAGAAAAAAAAGAGAGAAAGGGGGAAAAAAAGACAGAAGAAAATTCATTTCATGCTTCGTGGCTACTTAAAAAGCCCCATTTAAGGAGCCTCAGACACATGTATGTGATAAATTCAAACTATGTTAATATAATCAAGAAAGCCTTATAAGTTCTTTTTTTTCAATCCCAGGTAAAGATGGGTTTATTTTGGAATGGGAAATGGAATTAGAGGAGCGATTGCATGTCTTTTTTATGTTGGAAAATTAAAATTTGAATACAAAGAGTTCTAATTCTATCAGCCTAATATCAGTTCAACAGTTTTTCTTTTGAAAACCGCCCAGAGGAAACTCCTGCCTTACATGTTTCAGGGGGATATTTTTTATTTCATAAACAGTTATTTCATAAACAGGTTTCAAAAATCTTAACTGTCTTTAAAGAATCTCTAATCCATGGTGATTTGTTATGTATTAGGATTTCTCTCAATGTTTTTTTTTTTACAGCTTTAATGGTTAGAAAACAACTAAAACACGCTGTTTTCTGCATGTTGTTAAAAACTGAATAGAGATTTTACAAATTTCTTTTTTTTTTTTTTTCTAGATAATATATTTTGTGTTGATCAAAGTCTATGTTAGATTTTGAGCAAGTTTTTTTTAGAAGTTTAGGAAATAATCCTTTAATTTAGTGCTCTATGGCTACTTGGAAATGTGCACTTCATTGTCATTAGACAAAATGTTTACATTATGCTCTAACTTTTTCATTGACTGCATATAAGAGAAATCTTATTTGGAGCTGAATTGACAGATATATTTGTTCTGCGTGACTGTGGTAACCTCTGAGACAGTGACTACTAGAATAAAAGCCATTTCGCATACATAATATCACAGTAGATTTCTAGGTTAAACGCTGATTATTTCCCCTTTTTTTTCTTCATCAAAAAATTTTAACTGTTGTTCTCTCTTGTTCTGCAATCCAGTTCTACCCATAGCAAATATGGAAAATTCCTGTGCAGGACAAGAAGGAAGATTTTTTTTGTGTGTGTGTGTGTGTGTATATTTTCAACTGTTTAATTCCAAGTTAAGAGTTCTAAAACAAAATAACCAAATATATTATATGAGTTTTCGGACCGACTGTTTTAAACAAGAAACTAAATTAACAAGCGGGAAAAAAAATAAAATCTAGAGCCAGACCCTTTTCTGGTTTGGTGCTTCAGTGGATTCCAGTGGTGGATAGTCTGACCTCAGAACTGTTAACAAAAGAGGATGCTCGATTTAAACACCTTTCTCCTGCATGCATTATTAAATGCAACAGAGATAGCACTGTAACCACACAGAGAAACCAAAATCAACACTTTCTATCGGACATAAAACAAAAAAAAAGTAACAAAAAGAAAAAGGTCTTCAGTGGTGCTCGATATTATTGATTCAAATGTAAAGCAATTTTAATATATCTCTAGGGGATTTTTAGCAACAAGCAGGTCATTAATTTATTCTGCTAAATTGCTTATTCAATGTGAAGAACACGGATAAAGCATAAAATCTGTTAGATTTATGTCACGTAGACGAGTCAAGGGGTCGAATAATTCTAATGGAGAAAAAAGAGGGAGTAAAAAAAATAAATAAATATCAATGTTTGCTTTCTGGGAAGGTTTTGTTTTAGACAAATTTAGTTCCAAGAGGTTGTTTTATTTGTAGAATAATAAAAAAGATATTTTATTGTCAAATTTATCTCTCAAAAACCTCTTGGCTCCTGAATTGATATCAGTATATAAAATGACTCGTGTCATACTGTTCATCTTCAGGGATAAAGAGGACAAAGGTGCGAAAAAATAAAAAGAAAAAAAAATCGTCTCTCAGCAGACCTCCCGTAAGTGGCTCCCATGGCATCCATGATAAATAGTTTTAAAGTTTACAAATTATTGTGACAGCTCCCTTTATCCCAGAGTGCCATTCAGATTAAAGGAATCTAATGCTGGCGTAAGCTTGTGCAAGGCAATAAGAAACTATTGCTTTCCTGTCACATATAATTTATAGCTTTCTATTTGCATCTGTTTGCCTGTGTGACTAATCCCCAACTTTTTCCTCACGCTGGCCTCAATCAATACAACTTCATCCGCATTGGCACATGGGGTTGGGTTGGGGGAGGTGTTGTGTTTTATCACTATGAAGCCCCCTCCAAACTTGGGTCAGTCTGGATCAAGAGGGGGTTGGAGGTGGAGGGTGCTGATTAGTGCTGGCCAGGTAGAAGCAGTGAAGCTGATCATTGAGGTGAATTGATGTGATTTCATGCTTTGTTTGCAAGATCACCTAGACCAAAAAGTGCACTAGAGAGTCTTTTTTTCAGGACCTCATTCCTTAAGTCAGAAACCTTTCCCCAGATCGATGTTTGTTTATGAGTTGTTTTTGATATCTATATCTGAATATGTTTCTCTGGTTGTGGTTTTGATACTCAGGTGGTGGTAGTGATAGAAGAACGTCTTAAAAAATGGTTCCAGCCCATTTTGCTGATCAAATTAGCTTTTATCCTACAGGTCTTGGTCTAAATGGCTTAGGTCTTCTGTTGATACACAAAGAACAAACATTAGTTAAGATGCATTTACCTCAGCTTGCATAAAGACTCAGATGCAGTGAAAGCTGTGTTGTTTTATGAAGCAGATTAAAGGCGCATTCATTCTTTATTCTTTAGTCTTAAGACTTTAGATATTTGTGCATTATGTAATTGTTGATATCTTCTTTTATACAATCATCATCAAATAAAAACTGTGGAAAAAAGTAACTACCAAATATGACATATCGGAATAGTGACAAAGTAGAATATAAATAAACAGGTTAATAAAAAGGTTAATAAATAAGTACATCTAAAAATTCAGAAACAGTTTTAGGAGTAATAGCTGCTGTATCATCATTAGTTCAAAACTTTATATTTCATCGTATTAATATTGTGGAAATTCAAAAAATCTAATATATCTTTTTTATAAAGTGAACAGATCCATTCCATTTACAAAATGTTATGGTCAGTTGCTTCCAATCATATAAAAAGATTCTAATGCTGTATTCAACGGCAGGTGGTAAAACTCTAACTAAGGAAAGCAAGTGAATTGAGTCCCTGGTTTTGCAGCAATCTTGATGTCCTCTTGAGCATGATCATGTTTACAGTCTACAGTCTAATGCTTCACGCTTTAACTTTCCAGCCTGTATATTGGCCATGCATATGGTGACAGTCGAAAAGAAAACCTCTTTTGTTCTTGGCAGCATGCTAGAGGTGGTTTATTGAGTTAAAAATATTGTGTAACGATATTTCTATCCATCCAAGGCTGTGAAACTCCAAACAGGCCAGAGGTGACTTGCAATAGATGCTCTTACTTTCCAGGGTTTCCCTATTGAATAAGAAAACAGCCTTAGTATTGTTTTCTTATTTGATGACATGACTGCTCTAAATTTATATATATTTTTTTATGTATTATATCTGTTTACATTTTTATTTTTGTTTCCTTTATTTAAACATTTTCTGGAAAGTTTTTTTTTTGTATTTTTGGCTATCTCTGTTAAGACTAAGGCAAATTTAATTGAAGAAAAGAGTTATCACTCCTGACATCGACATTTTTTTTGTTCCCCAGGATCATCAGAACAAAGGTTCAGCAGCCTTTCCATCCCTCTCCTGATGGCTCATCACTTTCAGCACCAGGCCATACAATAGGTAAACAAATTTCCATCATATAAAGTTTCTGATAAAACCGAGTGGGTTGTTAATGGATATTGTAAAATATTATTTAAGGAGATAATTTGCAAACAATAAACTTACATATTCAATTTCCATTTGAAACACTAAGCTCTGGTACAATCTGTGAAAAAAAATAATAATAATGTCCTTATGCAGAACTGGTGACAGCACCTAAAAAATTGAAAGGCCTCTTATTCTACGTGCAGCATTCTCCCGAAAAATTGTACAAGGTAGCCTCTGACATTAACATTATTATATCTTATTAAAAACTTCATGGACATTTAGGTTCAAGAATTTGTTCCAATTTAAAAATAGCAGGTCTCACGATTTTTAAGCACTCTATCTCTTTGACTTGGATGGTTTCTTTAAATAAATCTGCTGTAATACATCCTACAATTGTCTTTCCTTTGGAAAGATGTGTAGCAATCTAAATTGAATATGGCTACACATCTATAAGACAGAAATTTCCTGTAATACATGGAGGTTAACATAGAGATAAACAATCATACAGAAATATTAACCCAAATACACTTCAATTCTGAACATGTTTTGATAAGAATTTTCTTGTGTCTAGACATTTCTGGCTATTTTTAACAGGATATTAAGCTACTTAACTATCTAAACATTTTGTAAAGATGAGTGTGTTTGATGCTGAATGTACACTAAGTTGGGTGTACCAGAAGGTTCTGTATATGGACACAAATTCTTCCAGTAAGGGAGTTTTTCCTCTCCACTGTCGCTGCAAGCATGCTTGGTGTGAGGGATTGCCTTTGAGTCAATGAGTCGATTGAACCAACCGGTTTTCCTTAGATAGAAAACTTTGAATTAATTTGACTGTATGATCTGGTTGAATCATCTTCACTAAAGGGCCTTGAGATGACATGTGTTGTGAATTGCCGCTATATAAATAAACTTAATTGAAAAAAACATTAATGATGTACTTTGAATTTAAATTATTTTATTCGCTGATGAAAAAAATAAGTTTAAATTTTTAGAATTTACAGTAACTTTAAAATAATAAGCCTAAAAATGTATCTTAGCAGGAATATTTTTTTAACCCTAAGTCGAATACAATCAAAATTCATGGCTTTTATGTATCTAAAAAAAATCATTTTAACAAACACAGTACATGAAACCAAATTCCCAGGTTTTGTAGATTGTGATAGGATCTACTGGAAAGCTTACAAGAATCATAATCAATCAAACTCTAAAAAAAAGTAGCATGTCATAAATAAAATAATCTATTAATTATCTCTGCATTTCTTTGGTGTAGGAACATCTCTTGAACAACTTAATGAGTGAGGTTAGGGGAAGAATTTAATTACATTTCACTGCATTTGTACCAAAAATAGCCTAAAAAAACTATAGATTTTGATTCTTAAGTAAAATGGTGATACTGCATACTAATGAAAATGTACATGTAAATAAGAAAGATTATAGCCATGTCATAATATTAGATTAGGTAGACATTTTGATAACATTTTAAAGACCAAAAAAAAAAAAAAACTTTTCCAAATAGTTGCATGCAGAAAGGAACTGGTTATGTTTACTTTGAGAATGTTATATTTTAACGAACACAGTCTATTTAAAATGTAAAGCTCCGTTTTGTTGTCTTCTTTTATGATGTTTTAAATGCTTAGTGTTGGTGTGGCGTTTCTGGACCCACATTTAACTTGGCAGTATAATGTCAGATTGTCAGTTACTAATTTTAAAAACTCTATAAAGAATAAAGGAAGTTAGTATTAAACAAGAATAAACCTTATCCTAATCTTTTCAGCCAAAAGTAATTTCCCTCTGGGATTATTAAAGTATTTCTGATTCTGATATAACTTACATGAATTACTGATGGCTTTATCTTAATTGCCACAGCTGTTAACATTCAAATGTTCAACACATAATAGTCAGATAATCAATAGACTCTCTTTTTCCTCTTTCCATAGTACCAAACACATCCTCCCCACCTGTAAGTAGCGCCTCCAATGACCCTGCGGGATCCTATTCCATTAATGGGATTTTGGGTATTCCTCGATCCAATGGAGAGAAGAGGAAAAGAGATGACGGTAAGAAGTTTATCTTTAACATTTACTTAATAGATAATATCTATAAAGCTAAAAGAAAGTTTTGCATTTTGAACTGCTCTTTCCAAGAAAGTCCAATTTGCTGAGCTTGCATTAAAGCCTGCCTCAGTTCCAGTCGATGACCCCTATAAAACACCTGAGTATGGACTCTGTTACACCGCTGTGTCAACCTGCCAACGAGTCTTTTGATTTGAAGACACGACCTCCGCTGTTGTCTCCTGCAATTAATCTTTATGGAAGTGATTAAAGGGCTTTAGATAATTACATGTCAAGATGATGTAGCCAACCACCCAGGTCAGTCAAAAAAGCTGCTGTAGCTCTTAGGTTGGCTTCTCAACACCCCTCCACCACCAGCTCCCAACAACCAAAAGTAGCTTCACTTCTGCCGGGCTAGTGGGTATCAGGAGGCCTGAGGCAATATAGATTATTGGTTCTGTAAGCAATAGGCCTCCCTAATGTCACTACATAAGAAGCTGATGAGAATAGCTAAACAGATGCAGCCGAGTTAGAAGGCATGCATGGGTACGGAGCAGTTATCTCAAACAGGGTGGGGAATGAGTGCCTTATTTCTGTGGTTCTCTGGAATGAGAGCTAATCAGAGCTCGACGGCAGTTTACATAGCGTCTTTCTTTGTTCTCCGTTTGTTGGGGGGGAGTAGAGGTTTGTGGGATATTGAGTGGAATTGATGTTTTATGTGCGTGCAGGGAGGGGAGGGATGACTAATGACCTGTCAGAGGTAGATTTCCTGGCAAAGATATAAAAACCAGCATGACGTGGACATGGCAAATGACATAATCAAGTCTTTTCCCTGTAAGAGATGCAATCGCAGGGGCATAATGCAAACGTCTGGTGTTTTCAGGAGGTTCATTTTCAGTCGTTTCGAGGACCCTCTCGTATTAGCTGGGGTGTAATGTCTAGTCACTGAATGATGAAATGCGGGCATTTTTATGCAGATTGCTACTGAAGGGCAAAGAGGTATTAAAGGGCATAAGGGGAATAAGCGGTATGTTTGAGGGGAAAAAGGCAGGGCTCTTTTGTGTGGAGGTCTTCCAGCTGACAGCGCCATGTTTCTACAGCTATTCCGCCTCAAATGACTCTCTTGATGTGTTGCCATCTCCATGATTTAGGTGCTCGGCCAGCGTTACTGTGAAATAGAAGAAAGCTGTTCTGTGGGTGGGTGCAAGGGTCCGTGTTTGTGTCAGAGCAGGACTAGCACTGAGAGTGGTATATATATATATATATATATATATATATATATATATATATATATATATATATATATATATATATATATATATATATATATATACTATACTTCTATGTGCAGCTGGTCTGCATCTACCTGGAATCACAGGTTTGTAGATGCTTTATCTTTTCTGGACATAAACTTTAGATCATACACACAAACATACTGAGATGCGCACACGGTTGCAGACCCTATGTCTTGCCTTGGGCCACAGTTTGTAAAAATAATATATTACAGAATGTGCTACCCTGTTGACACAGTCATCCTCTTGCTCTCCCTCAAAGAGCACCTCAACAAAAAGAGGGAGAAAAAAAATGTGTTTTTGGTTTCTACTGTGATAAAAATAATTTCTTGAGTAATTTCTTTAAATTAACATTCAGTATTTTCCTTTTATTGTTTTTTTTACATTTGCTTAATGTGTATCTACAATATAATGCATCCATTTAACATAACAACTTGCACTGACCCTTTTTAGGTTCTTATAAAATCAAACAATAGTTATTCACTTAAATATTTTTTTAAGTTTAATTAGGAAAAAACTTTTGATGGCTACTAGTAAGCTTATTTTCTTCTTCAACTCTTAAATAAATATATATATACATTCTATTGATATTCATAGACCTTCTTCCTATATTTGACTTTCTAAATTCAAATTTTGATATTCACATTTCAAGAAAAGGATGAAAACATTTCCTTTAATCCGTATGGTATATTGTTTTGGTACATTTGCTTTATCTTTCATATATCAAATAATGTGCAGCTTCACATGGTTATTGAGAAGCACAGCAAAATTATCTTATTTCTGAAATTAGATCTTCTCAACAAAACCTCTTATACTGATTAATTACTTACAGGATGTCATTGTAAAGCCTTTATTTCTCTTAATTATGATGATTTTTCGATTTGCAGCCAAGGGAAATATGACATCTTAAATTAGAATATTGCATCTGACTCATAAAAGAAAACATTTAAGATGTTGACTTAATCAAAAATATATTTAATAACTTTCAAAAAGTACTTTCAATTTGGCAAATGAGCCTCATTAGATTGCAAGTTGGTTTTATTTTATGTTTATGAGTGTATATCCTGCAAGTAGCAGCTGCATTTGGGAAATCCTGAAACTAAGTGGTAAGAGAAAAAAAAGTGCCATTCTACTGCTGTGCTTGCTTGTTGATTTTGTCATGTTTTCCACGGTGGCTTGTTTGCTATTTAGACATATTTTGCTTCGCTCAGTAGGCTGTAGTCTATACTGAGTTAATGCTTGGATTAAATTTCCTCACAGTGCAGTAGCTTCCCTGAGCCCAATTTAAGTTGGTAAGCCTCATGATTATTATGGCACAAGCAGTCATTATCAAAGAATGGAAACCCGAACAAAAAAAAAAGAAAACGTACAGAGGGAATGGGGAGGGGAGTGGAACACAAGCTCTAATGAAATGGATTGTCTGTGCAGCTTGGAATATTTGTTTTAGGCTGTGGCTGTGGCTCTCTGCCAAGCAGGCAGGCAGCTCCTAAGTTTCTAAGTCAGTAGTGTCCTTAAAAAAGGCTCCCCCACCCCATTACAGGAGGGATGTAGAGATAATGTAGTGTGACACACGTTATGTACACTGGGTCTCTGCAAGAAGAGCTTCAGGGACACAGGTGTCATAAGAGCCATTAATCTACCATTGTCACATGTTATTGCAAATTAAAAGCACCGTGTTACAGTGGCAGCTATTGTTGCAAACGGACAGGGAGTGGGAGCACGGGCAAGACCCCTGGAGACGGTGACCAGGCTTTGGTGAACATGGCTGTCCCAACCTTTTACAAATTGACACATATTAGAATTCACAATTCTGCTGAGAAACACTATTACCTCTGAGATTAACATCCAAGTAGCTATTAACCACCCCCACTGCTCCTGACTCTATTTGGTGCTCCACATTTTCTTTACTGAGAAAAGAAATTCCAATTTGTCACTATTTAGGAACAAATTTAATCAATGACTTTTGTTTTCAACAGTATAAAACCACCTGAGCACACAACAAACATCAAGCCGCAGGTGGTTCTTGCATAAATAATGCACATCTAAACACACTTGCCCCCACTTCTGTATTGTTTTAGTTATTGTTGGTAATGGTTTTATAAATCACAGCTTGTTTGTAATCAGTTTTGGATCTTGTCATGGATGGACCAGTCCAGTCTAAGCATTTTTTTTATGTTTTTTTAAAGAGATTGTAAAACATAATTTGGTTCAATAGAAAACAGAAAAAAGTGACTTCATTTTAGCAGAGACTGAAGAAACCGAAAGCCTTAAATAAGGAACACAATTCAATCCTAAACAACTGGGAAATATGGGCATAATCTTTAGGCAAATTTCAACTGTGGTAACCAGTTCTTTCCTTCTGTTACAACTGCAAATACCAGAGAAGGGTGGCCAAAATCCTTGAGATCTACCATCCTACAACTTTTGAATGCCTTTCTTCTCTCAAACACCTGCATTTTATTGACTGGATTCCCTCAACAGTTGTCATTTTACTCTGCAGAGGCTCATAATTAGCTATCATTTGATTAAAATAATTTGGGAAAGGGATTCATGAAAACTTAAAGGGTAGGTTTTGAGAACTTGACACCCTAACACCGTCCCACTAAATGACTAGACCAGACAGAAAAGGGCCCTGGTATGAAGGTACTCAGTCAACATGTGTATGTGGAACCATTATGGATTTATCCATATGCCAGCACATATATGCCAGGTCCTAAATTTGCATAAAAAATGGTTCTAATGAAAAAACAATTAATAAACACAAAGTGGACCCTTTCCTTCGGACAATGGTAGAAAAACCTGCAGCTCCAAGTCACATGTGGCTCTTTAAGATATCCAAAATAAGATTAGCGCAAAAAGAGCCAAACCTGAAGTTCATTTATATATAAATGCAACTAAGAAGTTTTTTAATACAATATCTGTTGAAACAATCACCTACAGAAAGACACCAATAGTTTCTTTCTTTAGCTAATTTCTTATCATTTTAGTAATCTCCTAAGGATGTTTTCATAAAAATTAAACATTTGATTCAGATAAAACCAGAGAGAAATATATTTTTTTTGTTTTATTGTAACGATTATTAAACCCAGTTTAATCAACAGGGTTTGGGGTTGGATAGCCATAATGCTTTTTTTCCCTTTTTTTTTTTTTTTACAAGGCTTTTCGTTTTGATTTATAAGAGAAACACAATCAAAATTCATAATGAAGACCATCTTCATAAAATTTAAGAGCCAAGAAAGATAGCCCGGGGCAATCAGAGTGTATGAGATTGTCTGCTACAGTAACTGTTGAATTAATTATTTTTCATCTCTGAGCATCATGTGGACTAAAAATGATGGATGTTAGAGCTGCTTTTCCATTTTTGGTGGGAGACATTGGAAGTCAGAAAGCTGCAAAATATCTGCACCTAAACAAAACAACTCAAATACGATAAATCGGGCATTGAACAATCAATTTTGCAGGTAATCGATCAGACAAAGTTCATCATGCATAAACCTACACATTTTTGCTATTTTGTTGCAAATTAATTATATTTCTATCAATCCACTGAGCAATTTGGTTTCCAGTCTTTAGAAACTGCTTATAGATCTTTGGAGATGCAGAACAAACATTTTACATTCCACAGACATTATTTTAATTTGTGTTTACATAATCAAAACATTCAATTAGAAAAGCAAAATGCAGCTGAGTTCCTCCAAATGGATGCAAATGAGT